AACTCGGCAGGGCAGGCTAGGCAGGGCGGCGCGGCTCGGCAGGGCGGCACTCTTACCAGTGGCGAGGCCGGGGCAGGGCCGGGGTAGGGCCGCGACAGTGCAGGAGCAGGGCAGGGGCAGGGCCGGGGCAGAGCCGGGGCAGGGCCGGGGCAGGGCAGGGGCAGGGCCGGGGCAGAGCCGGGGCAGGGCCGGGGCAGGGCCGGGGCAGGGTCGGAGCAGGGCCGGGGCAGGGCCGGGGCAGGGCCGGGGCAGGGCAGGTGCAGGGCCGGGGCAGAGCCGGGGCAGGGCCGAGGCAGGGCCGGGGCAGGGTCGGAGCAGGGCCGGGGCAGAGCCGGGGCAGGGCCGGGGAAGGGCCGGGGCAGGGCCGGGGCAGGGCAGGTGCAGGGCCGGGGCAGAGCCGGGGCAGGGCCGGTCCAGGGCCGGGGCAGGGTCGGAGCAGGGCCGGGGCAGGGCCGGGGCAGGGCAGGTGCAGGGCCGGGGCAGAGCCGGGGCAGGGCCGAGGCAGGGCCGGGGCAGGGCCGGGGAAGGGCCGGGGCAGGGCAGGTGCAGGGCCGGGGCAGAGCCGGGGCAGGGCCAGGGCAGGGTCGGAGCAGGGCCGGGGCAGTGCCGGGGCAGGGCCGGGGCAGGGCCTGGGCAGGTCCTGCAGCAGAGCCGGCGCAGGGCCGCGACAGGTTGGGGTAGGGCCGGGCGGGGCCTTACGGGGCCACTAACGGGGCCTGCCGGGGCCGTACGGGGCCTCTAACGGGGCCTGACGGGGCCTGCCTGGGCCGTACGGGGCCTGACGGGGCCTTATGGGGCCGAACGGGGCCTTAAACGGGGCCTGACGGGGCCTTACGGGGCCTTACGGGGCCTTAAACAGGGCCTGACGGGGCCGTACGGGGCCTCACGGGGCCTTACTGGGCCTTAAACGGGGCCATACGAGGCCTTACTGGGCCTTAAGGGGCCTTACGGGGCCTTAAGGGGCATTACGGGGCCTTACGAGGCCTAAAACGGGGCCTTACGGGGCCTTAAATGAGGCCTTACGGGGCCGTAAACGGGGCCTTACGGGGCCTTACGGGGCCTGAAACGGGGCCTTACGGGGCCTTAAGGGGCCTTAAACGGGGCCTTACGGGGCCTTAAACGGGGCCTTACGGGGCCATACGGGGCCTTACGGGGCCTTTCGGGGCCTGAAACGGGGCCTTACGGGGCCTTAAGGGGCCTTAAACGGGGCCTTACGGGGCCTTAAAAGGGGCCTTACGGGGCCATACGGGGCCTTACGGGGCCTTACGGGGCCTTACGGGGCCTTAAACGGGGCCGTAAAGGGGGCCTTAAGGGGCCTTACGGGGCATTCCGGGGCCTTACGGGGCCTTACGGGGCATGAAAACGGGGCCTTACGGGGCCGGCGCTAGCGCTAAGGGCAGGCGCAGGGGCCACTACGGGCCTCGAAAGGGTAGGCGCGACGCGCGCGTCGAGTGGGTACGAAAAATTCAGTGGTGGGCCCTTTAAAAAAAAAAACTCGAAACTAGCTCTATACCATGTGAAAGAATAAACGAAAGAATGAATGGAATTAGGAAATGAGAAGGGTACAAGTAGGAAACACATAAGTGTTGTACCCTCTAAGGACTACCCCACTACAGCCTAAACAGACTATAGTAAATATATGTTTGACACCTACAGCGCCAGGGTCTCCAGCTCCAGCTCCTCCAGCTCTAGCGCCACCAGCGCCAGTGCCTCCAGCGCCAGGGTCTCCAGCTCCAGTGTCCCCAGCTCCTGCTCCTCCAACTCCAGCGCCTCCAGCGCCAGTGCCTCCAGCTCAAGAAGCTCTAGCTCCAGGGTCTTCAGCACCAGCTCCTCCAGCTCCAGCACCTCCAGCACCAGTGCCTCCAGCTCCAAGGTCTCCTGCTCTAGAGTCTCCAAAACCACCAACTCCGGTAGCTCCAGTACCTCTAGTACGAGCACCTCTAGGACCAGCAGCTCCAGTACGACCAGTGTGATCAGGGGAGGCAAGACGAGAAGCAGGCACACGACGCTCAGTAATACCTCCGGTCTGCTCAGTGTAAGGAGAAGGAGCAGGCAGTGCGGAGGCTGGCTGTAACAGCGGCTGCGACTGGTCAGGTGGTGGATTCAGTAAAGGAGGAGTAAGGCAAGGAGAAGACGGCACACCAAGAACCTGCTGAAGCAGGGGAACGAAGTACGGTCGCGGCCGCCTAGTGCCTCCAGCACCTCCAGCTCCAGGGTCAACAGCTCCAGCTCCTCCAGCTTCAGCGCCCCCCGCGCCAGTGCCTCCAGCTCCAGTGCCCACAGCTCCAGCTCCTCCAGCCCCAGCAGCTCCAGGCTTCGTAGGGTCTCCAGCTCCAGCTCCCCCAACAGCTCCAGTCCCGGCAGCTCCAGTACCCCTAGTACGAGCACCTCCAGGACCAGCAGGTGCAGCTGTTAGAATAGTAGGCGAGAATGATTGACTAGGAAAAGGGAAGGGGTACAAGTAGAATGTCGAGAGAAACTTTGTACCCCCTAAGGCTAAACCCACTATAGCCTAGACAACTATAAACACATAAACTAAGCCTAGATATAACTAGGCATATATGTTTGACACACCCCCATAGGCGAAGTGGGGGATAGCCAGAACAAGCAATGGTCACAAGACCAGTCAAGAAGAAGCAAAGCAAAGCAAGCTCAGGGTGGATCACAAAGTCACCACACAGTCCGAGCACAAGCAAAGGGCCAAAAGGCCAGTTCACAAGTACAAGCAAAGCTAGAGGCATTCACAAAGGGCAAGTGAGGAGGAGGCTGGACTGTAAGAGGAGAGTAGATAGGAGGCGACGGCTGATGCTGCAGACACACGGGCAACAGGAGCGGCGTGCACTGTGGCTACCGGAGCCGTATCCCCGGACTACAGGAGTAACTGGCTCTGCGGCTAACTCTGAGCGACAGGAGCAACGGACCCACAGGCGACAGACGCAGCAGGCTCTCTGAGCTACCAGAAGCAGAACCCCGGACAACAGGTGCTGCGGACGACAAGACGGCAGCCTCCGCTCAACCTCCCCCAACTGTCCCACCCCCCTTTCACACACCCCTTGCTGCACCCCTAGCTCCACTCCCACATCACCCCCCTAGAACCACTCCCTCGGCTCCCACACACCCACCCCCCTCAGCGGCAGCTGCAGCAGTGGGAGACGAAGGTGGAGGAGGAGAAGGGGACGGTTCACACACCCGCCACCCCCATACCCGCCACCCCGCAGTTGCACCCACACCCGCCACCCCCATACCCCCACCCCACCGCTGCACCTGCAGCAGGGGAAGGAAGGAGAAGGGAGGGGGAGGGGGGGGGGGCGGTTGGGGCGGGGGGGGGGGGGGGGGGGGGGGGTTGTGCATGGCGCGTGCAGAGGGCAGCAGGGCACGCACAGGGCAGCAGGGCGCACAGGGCAGCAGGGCAGCAGGGCGCGCGGGGCGCATGGTGCGCGCAGGGCGCGCAGGGCGCAGCAGGGCTGCAGGGCGCGCGGGGCGCACAGGGCTGCAGGGCGCGCGGGGCGCACAGGGCAGCAGGGCAGCAGGGCGCGCGGGGCGCGCAGGGCTGCAGTGCGCGCAGGGCGCGCAGGGCAGCAGGACAGCAGGGCGCGCAGGGCGCAGCAGGGCTGCAGGGCGCGCAGGGCAGCAGCAAGGGCTGTAGCGACAGCAGCAGGGCAGCAGGGCGCACAGGGCTGCAGGGCAGCAGGGCGCGCGGGGCGCACAGGGCTGCAGGGCGCGCGGTGCGCGCAGGGCTGCAGTGCGGCAGGGCGCGCAGGGCGCAGCAGGGCTGCAGGGCGCGCGGGGCGCACAGGGCTGCAGGGCGCGCGGGGCGCACAGGGCAGCAGGGCAGCAGGGCGCGCGGGGCGCGCAGGGCTGCAGTGCGCGCAGGGCGCGCAGGGCAGCAGGACAGCAGGGCGCGCAGGGCGCAGCAGGGCTGCAGGGCGCGCGGGGCACACAGGGCAGCAGGGCAGCAGGGCGCGCGGGGCGCGCAGGGCTGCAGTGCGCGCAGGGCGCGCAGGGCAGCAGGACAGCAGGGCGCGCAGGGCGCAGCAGGGCTGCAGGGCGCGCGGGGCGCACAGGGCTGCAGGGCGCGCGGGGCGCGCAGGGCTGCAGTGCGCGCAGGGCGCGCAGGGCAGCAGGACAGCAGGGCGCGCAGGGCGCAGCAGGGCTGCAGGGCGCGCGGGGCGCACAGGGCTGCAGGGCGCGCGGGGCGCACAGGGCAGCAGGGCAGCAGGGCGCGCGAGGCGCGCAGGGCTGCAGTGCGCGCAGGGCGCGCAGGGCAGCAGGACAGCAGGGCGCAGCAGAGCTGCAGGGCGCGCGGGGCGCGCAGGGCAGCAGCAAGGGCTGTAGCGGCAACAGCAAGGGCTGTAGCAGCAGCAGCAGGGCAGCAGGGCGCACAGGGCAGCAGGGCGCACAGGGCTGCAGGGCAGCAGGACAGCAGGGCGCGTAGGGCGCGCAGGGCTGCAGGGCAGCACAGGGCTGCAGATCCCCTCCCCCCACCGCTGCACCCGCAGCAGGGGGATGGAGGAGAAGTCGGGGGGGGGGGGGGGGGGCTGATGCTGCAACTCCCCTCCCCCCCCACTGCTGCTGCAGATCCCCTCCCCCCACTGCTGCATCCGCAGCAGGGAGATGGCAGATCCCTTCCCCCCCACTGCGGCACCCGCATACCCGCCACCCCCATACCCTCCCCTCTACTGCTGCACTCGCAGCAGAGAGATGGAGGAGAAGGGGGGGGCGGGGGGGGGGGGGGGGGGGGGGCAGGTGCTGCAGGTCCCCTCCCCCCCTCTGCTGCTCCCGCAGCAGGGGGAGGTAGGAGAAAGGTGGGGGGCCTGGTGCTGCAGATCCCCTCCTGCCTCCCCCTGAACCTCCAAGTTTCCTCCCCCTCTCCCCGCCATCCCCATGGAGGGGGGGGAGGGGGGGGAGGGGGGCGGGGGCGGAGATGCGCGTGCGACTGAAGGGCACGCGGGCAGGAGGAACCCCCTCTTGCCACCCCCTCACCCACCATGGCGCAACAGGGCACCGGGGCCGCGGTTAGGGGCGGCAGGTCGCGAGGGGCCATGGCTAGGGGCGACGGGGCCATGGCTAGGGGCGACGGGGCCATGGCTAGGGACGGGGCCGGGCGCTGGGCAGGTACGGGGCCGGGCGCTGGGCGCGGAATGGGGCCGGGCGACGGGCAGGTACGGGCCGGGCGACGGGCTAGGTACGGGCCGGGCGCGGGCAGGAGACGGGGCCAGGCGTTGGGCGAAGGACAGGGCCAGGCGCGGGCTTGGTACGGGCCGGGCGCGGGCTAGGTACGGGGCCAGGTACGGGCGAGGTACGGGCCGGGCGCGAGGCTAGGTACGGGCCGAGCAACGGGCTAGGTATGGGCCGGGCGACGGGCTAGGTACGGGCCGGGCGCGGGCAGGAGACGGGGCCGGGCTAGGTACGGGCCGGGCGACGGGCTAGGTACGGGCCGGGCGTCGGGCTAGGTACGGGCCGGGCGCGGGCAGGAGACGGGGCCGGGCGCGGGCTAGGTACGGGCCGGGCGACGGGCTAGGTACGGGCCAGGCGACGGGCTAGGTACGGGCCGGGCGCGGGCGACGAAGTCGACGGGGCCAGTGGGGCCGAGGCGACGGGGCCAAGGGGCCGAGCGCGGGCTAGGTACGGGCCGGGCGCAAGGCTAGGTACGGGCCGAGCGACGGGCTAGGTACGGGCCGGGCGACGGGCGAGGTACGGGCCAGGCGACGGGCTAGGTATGGGCCGGGCGACGGGCTAGGTACGGGCCGGGCGCGGGGCTAGGAACGGGCCGATCGCGGGCTAGGTACGGGCCGATCGCGGGCTAGGGGCGACGCCAAGGGGCGATGGGCCGGGGCCTAGGCTAGCAGGGCAGTAGGTGGTGGGCCCATTAACATTAGGTCCTAGGAATGTTATGCTCTTAATACCATGTTAGAATAGTAGGCGAGAATGATTGACTAGGAAAAGGGAAGGGGTACAAGTAGAATGTCGAGAGAAACTTTGTACCCCCTAAGGCTAAACCCACTATAGCCTAGACAACTATAAACACATAAACTAAGCCTAGGTATAACTAGGCATATATGTTTGACAGCAGCACCTCCGGTACCACCAGCTCCAGCAGTAACTCCAGCACCTCCAGCTCCAGTGTCTCCAGCGACAGAGTCTCCAGGTCCGGCAGCTCCACTCCGAAGGCAGGAGCGCTGAGCAAACCACTCGCGCAGCTGCTGTGGGAGAGAGGCTCCGACCGGGGAGACAGTCGTGGCGAAGCACCCGCAGGACCTCCAGAAGAAGCGGTACCCCTCGGCTCAGCACCCCCAGACTCCGCACCCTCAGACTCAGCACCCCGAGGCTCCATACCCTCAGGCTCAGCACCCCCAGGCTCCACACCCGCAGGCTCAGCATCCCCAGGCTCCGCACCCCCAGGCTTTGCACCCCCAGACACGGCACCCTCAGACTCAGCACCCCCAGGCTCCGCACCCCCAGACGCAGCACCTCGAGCAGCACCTGAGCCGACAACTACCCCAACAGGGGCAGTACCAGGGAGAGGGTCTACCTGCGACACACCAGAGAGAGCAGGACCCTGGGGGGGGAGGGGGTCCACCGGAGGGGGACATAGAGCAAGGAAGAGCGACGGGGGAGGGGAGGGGCAGAGCGGTAGGGGAAGAGACGGTAAAAGGGAACCGACTCATCAAACGTGATGTCCTGAGAGGGGAAGACACGGCGTAAGGTGGGGTGGTAAAATTGCCAGCCAGGCGCGTCAGGGGAAAAGCCAAGGAAGACGCAGGGAATAGCGCGGGCGGAGAGCTTGTCCGCGGACGTATCGCGAACAAAGGTACAAGAACCCCAGACCCGGAACACCGACGCATCGCCAACCTTCCCCGTCCAACGCAGTGTAGGCGAGGTCTCTGGCAAGGAGACACGGGGCCAGAGGTTGAGCTGATGTGCAGTGTAACGGACCGCAACGGCCACAGAAAATGAGGAGCAGCCGCATGGATCATGGAGGTACGAGCGACAGGAGGCGACACAAACAAGGGGGTGCTACCTGACCTGACGCAGACACCTGGGCAGACGCAGCTACCTGAGGAGGCTCGGTAGCTAGTGTGTACAGACTTGACCCTCGCCAACGAGTGAACGTGTCCATGTGACGGCCCGTCCATGTACACGTGCAGATCGACACACGCTGACCCCCAAGAGTGGTGGTAGTGACCATCGCGTCCTGGAGGGCTGCGGTACTCACCAAGTTCGTAGAGAACGAGGGGAGGTGAAGGCCTGACAGTGAACTGGACGGAACCACTGGACACGGGAGCACAGTGGAGGAATGGGCGAGGACTGGGCCCCCGGAGGGAACAGCCAGCCTGACGAGTACAGGTGCAGAGAGAGGAGTGAGGGTGGTGCTGTCGCGAAAGAAACAGCGTGAGGCACCTGAGTCAAGCGTGAAGGTGTGCAAGGCCTCAGCAGGCGCAGTACCAGGGAGAACAGACTCACTAGCACCTAGAGCAGCAGCCTCTATACCTGGGTCAAGCGGCACACACAGGTAACAGTCACCCTTAGCACGAACAGACAAAGCATACATAGCAGCAAGGATAGCATCATAGTCTAGGTCAAAGATTGCAACTCCAGACCTAAGCAGCTCTGCCCAGCGGGGACGCTCGGCCTCGTCACCAAACTCTGCGCGCCAAGCGTCGTCGAGGCGGGAGAAGCAGCGGTGCTGAGTGTGAGGCTTCCCGCATGTCTGACCAGCACGGTCACCCGTGCGAATGACATACGGGCAGCTACCACTACCCCCAGACGCCCTACGCTGAGCAAACCACTCACGAAGCTGCTGGGGCTACGGGGTCTCGCTCCGACGCTGCTGCTGCTGCCTCTGGCCTCCTCAAGAACCTCCACGCTGAGCTCCAGTCTGACTGTCACCACTCCCACTGCTGCCACTACCGCCACTCCCACCGCTGCCTCCACCGCCGCCACCAGAGCCCCCACTCCCTCCACCACTCCCACCGCTACCACCACCTCCACTGCCTCCACCATCTCCACTGCTGCCCCCACCACCACCCCCGCTGCCACCGCCACCACCCCTGCCACCCTTGCCCTTGCTGCTGCGGCGCTTCGCAGTAGCAGAAGTAGCCCCGACGTCCTTAGCACCAGGGACGTCGACAGCAGCAGCAGAGGCGTAGGAGGGGGCAAGGGGGGAGGGGGAGCACCCCTCAAAGAAGGGCGTGCGCGGAGTGCCACGGGCAGCACCTACAGGAAATACACCAGTCTCATCTGCAAGGAGGTGCTGCTCTAGTAGGTCAACACTGAGGACTGTGGGGTCAAGTGAGAGAAAGTGGTCCCTGACAGAGCAAAGAGAGTCAGGGAGGCGGGTGACTATAAAGTAGAGAGTGATGTACATCGGGGGCTGGTTCCTATCAAGGAACTCTGCTGGGAGGGCAGTGCGGTAGCAAGTGTTGCTAGTGCGAAGGTGGGAAACCAGGTCCTCTACTGTGGCAAAGGCGGACAGCTCGGGAAACAGGTAGTGCAGGAGAAGACGGCCTAGAGCAGCAGTGGCAGGCGAGGAGTAACGGGCGACTACAGCGTCGTACAGGGCCTGTGTTGTCCGAAGTGAGCGCATTCGGCTAACGACAGGTGGTTGCGAATGGCTAAGCAAGCAGCAGCGTCACGAGTAAGCCACCGTGAGCGAGTGGCACTGTCAGCTGTGGCGGGAGGAGCGGGAGCAGCACCAGACGTGTGGTCAAACAACGAAACACTGTCCCTAGAGTCGCTCAGTAGGTACAGCAGCAGGTAGTCAAGCCACGTGTCAAACTGGATCGGTCGGCCCTCATGATCGAACGCTAGAACGCGGAGAGAAGCCATTGCGGTGCAGCACGCAGGGCGGGCAGAAGCCGGGCAGCGCAGGCAGCAGAGAGGGCCGGCAAGCAGGGCAGCAGCGGCTGCGAGATGGCCTCAAGGGGCGGCTAGCAGGGCAGCAGGGGCGCGTAGAGGGCCATAAGAGGCGGCGCGCGGGGCCTAGGGTCGACAGGCCCGCCGGAGCCTAGGAGCGACGGGCGCGAGTCGGGGCTAGGGGCGACGTTCCGGGGCCTCGGGGTGACGGGTGCGAGTCGGGGCTAGGGGCGACGGGCCGAGGCCTAGGGGGGGGCGACGGGTGACAAGCCGAGGTTGGGGCGACGGGCCTAGGAGCGACGGGCGTAGGGCCGGGGTCCTAGGGGCGACTGGCAACGGGCCGGGGCGACGCGCTGAGGGGGGGGGGACAACGGGCCGGTGCGACGGGGCATAGGGGCGACGGGCCGTGGCGACAGGCCTAGGGGCGATGGGCCGGGGCTAGGTGCGACGGGCCGACGGTCGACGGGCCGAGGCGATGGGCTGGGGCGACGGGCCTAGGAGCGTTGGGCCGGGGCAACGGGCCTAGGGGCGACGGGCCGGGGCTAGGGGCGACGGGCCTAGTCGACGGGCCGGGGCGACGGGCTACGGGCCGGGGCGACAGGCCTAGGGGCGACGGGCCTAGGGGCGACGGGCCTACAGTCGACGGGCCGGGGCGATGGACGACGGGCCGGGGCGATGGGCCTAGGGGCGATGGGCCGGGGCCTAGGGGCGATGGGCAGGCCGCATGAGGGCGGCGCTAGGGGTAGTAGGTGCGGCACGAGGGTCGCTAGGGGCGGCTAGTGGGGCAGCGCTGTGGTGGGCAAAAAAAAAACAGTCCTAGCGGAGGACCTGCTCTGAAACCATGTCAGAATAACTAACAAGGATGAATGAACTATGAAACAGTTGGGTACAAGTACTAACCCTAATTGGGTTGTACCCCTTATGGGCTACCCCCACTAAAGCCTACACAAATAGAAGCACTATAACATTCTGACAATGATCAACCTCCATGATCAAGCCAATGCGACGCTCAGCAATCCCATTTTTCTGAGGAGAGGCCGGAAGCATGAACGACTGGCAGATGCCCTCGTCTCGACAGAACTCCGCAAGGAGGTCAAAAGAGAACTCACTGCCCATGTCAGATGTCAAACTTACATGCTATAGTATTTCTAGGCTGTAGTGGGGTAGTTCATATAGGGTACAACATTTCTAGGTTTCCTACTTATACCCACCGGCTTGCTAGTTCAGTCATTCATTCGTTCACTATTCTGACATGGTATTCTGAGCAGGTTCCCTAATGGGAACGTTTTTTATTTTAGGGCCCACCACGATTTTCTTTGCCCTGCCCGAAGCGCGCCTCGCGCCCTGCCCTAGTACGGCCCGTCGCGGCCCTGCCTTAGCTGGCCCGTCGGGGCCCTGCCTTCGCCGCCCGTCGCTGGCC